ACTGAGCCATTTCTCCAGCCCCTATATTATAACTTAAGGAATGTATTTAATAATTCATAAGCACATTCATAATGAGACACTACTCAACTACAAAACAAATAAAGATCAAGAAAGTTCTTTATATGACTATATGAAAAAAATCCATGAGGTTTATTGGTCTGTGAAAAAAGCAAAATAAAGAACATGTACAAAGATTTATATAAAAAAACAGTAAGTGTAACATAAGAGGCCGGGCCTGCTTGTTTGTGTTTCTGTCCTGCCCGGCCCCCCAGCTGTTTAGTCCCAGAGTAAAATCACACTGAAATCTCTGTAAGTTATAATGCTGATTGGCTTGTTAGGTCAGGCTTCTTACTGGCTAACTCTCACATCTTGATTAATCCATTTTTCTAATCTATGTTAGCCATGTGGCTCAGTACCTTTTTCAGTTGGGCAGCTCACATCCTGCTGCTTCGGTGATCTGGGCAGGAGTGGGAAGAATCAACTTCCTCCTCCCCAGAATTCTCCTGCTCTCTTTGCATCATTTCCACTTCCTGTCTGGTTTTCCCGCCTACACCTCCTGCCTGGCCAATCAGCATTTATTTAAAACATGATTGACAGAATACAGACAATTCTCCCACACCAAGCAAGGAAGCCAGAACTATGGCTCAGTAGGTAGAGAGACATGCCACCAAGCCTGGTGGGGAACTGGGTATCTGGGGCCCGTGTGGTTGACAAAGACAGCAGACCGCCACAAATCCTCCTCTGATCTCCACACATGTGCTCCCTCCCCACAAATAAATAAATGTAATCAAAAACAGGGAGGAAAAGTAAGTACATGTTTGTTCAGAGACACACTATATTTTTCCTGGGTGCAGCGGTGTACACTTGAAATCCCAGCTGAGGCAGGGGGATCATGAGTTTGAGGCCAGTCTGAGCTCTATAACAAGATCTTGACTCAACAATAGCTTTCATTTCTCCCCAGTGGACACAACTTGTGGCATAAGAAGCTGCTAACATCACTGCCTGCAGGTGGTAAACTGAATGAACTGGGAGTGGGAGAGAATAGGAGAAAGGCTATTTAAATTTAGAAATGACACCAGGCTTGGTTCTGTATTGTGAGTCAAAGGGTATTTATGGCATCGGAGCACATACTATCAATACAGCGAACACCTGTGAAACTGGGTTTAGAGATAGAGCACAGCCCTCATTTCAGGGCCCCATGTACCCCCTTTCTACCTGCCTGCTGCCTTTATGTAAGTGTGTCCATCAGCAAGTGTTCTGGAAATTTGCTTTGATTTCTTCTCCTGTTTTTTGCTATGTGTTTGGGTCTCAGCAGCCCACAGTCAGCAATGCTCCTCTCTCCAGTAGAGTACCTCCGTTAATACGGAGCGCACAAGCCTGATGTCCGCGTTGGAGTGTCTGAGCATGCTGTCCCAGGTGGACAGGAAGAGCCTGGTATCCAAATCAGAGGTGGAGTCCATCGTTGAGCAGGAGGCCCTGCAGGGAGGCGACTACGAAAGGCTTGCAGACAGGGAGTTGAGAGAGAAGGAGGGCCTATCTTCTCCCAGGCTCATCCACCCCAACGATGTCCTTAAGATTCTGGAGGCCTTTGTCATGGGGCTGAAGAAGCCCAAGTAGGCAGTGTGCGGTGGTGATGAAGGGCTTGCCTGATACCCAGGGACTGGGAGGCTAGGAGGCATTTGGGGCAATTGATTGGAAAAGGGGCTGTGTACACACACACACACACACACACACACCCATACAAATGTGATTTTTTTAACAGCAAGTATATGACTGGCTTCAGTACTATGACTGTTATTGCTTGGGGGACTAGGGTATTAGGTGGTGACGGTGACACCATTGGTTTTGACTTTCAGGGACGTCCGTCCAGTACCGAGGGTGAAGAAAGATGTTCGCGATAACTCCAGGGACAGCGAGTATTGGGCGTCCCTGGCCATGGTTATCCCTGCCTCCAAGCAGAGCCTCTGGGATGCGCTATACAAGGCCTTGGAGAAATATTAGTCAGTACCAGGGTGTGGAAGGGCAGGGAGCTGGGTGGTCTTTAAGACAGTCCTGCTGAGTCATAGCTGTGTATCCCATGCTCACAGTTTGACATGGTAGAATGTTGGTAGGTGGTGGCGGTAGTAGGCGGTAGAGGGTGGCACCTCTAGTCCCACCCTCCTTGTCTGTCCCTACTAACCTGGGAGAAAGGGAAATATCCCAGTTCTTCCTCTACTTGAAGCCAGGACAGAAACACCAAGGGCCTGGCTTCTAAACAGTAGAGGAGGGAAGAGTGCACTGGCCTCTGTCTAACCTGCTTCCTCTGCCTCACCCCCAGCCTTGTGCTGACCCAGAGGGCCAAGCTGCTGATGGAGAATGACTCTTTGGAGCAGCAGAATGCTGAGATGCAGTCCCTGCTGCAGCAGTATCTCCAGGCCAAGGTGAGTGGTGGGACCCCAGGAGGAGACGGTTGCTGGCAAGTCTGTGGGTACTGCCTGCAGCCCTGCCTAGGCAGAAGGACCGTGACTCTGTGCCTTGGTGCCATTACTTTGGTTTCACTCTGTTGTGATCACTCTCTTTGTTCTATTTGTCTTTAATTTTGTTTTAATTTTTTGAGGCAACGTGTCAGGTGGCCTTGGCTGGTCTCAAACTCCATTTGTAGCCAAGGGTGACCCTGCAGTTCTGATATCTTGCTTTCACCTTGGGAAATTGGGATTTCAGGCATAAGCCACCACAACCTGTGTATGCGGTGCTGGGGATCAAACCTAGAGCCTTTACTCATGTTAGGCAGGCACCCTACAAACCGAGCTACATCTGCCTCCTCCCCTCTCAGCTTGTACATTGTAGTTCACTTGCCTTGAACTCATGACTGTTTGCCTGTCTCAGTCTTCCAAGGACTGTAATGACAGGCAGGAGCTACAATGCCCAGCTGTAGAAGCATTCTTTTTTTGTTTGTTTGTTTGTTTTTCGAGACAGGGTTTCTCAGTGGCTTTGGAGCCTGACCTGGAACTAGCTCTTGTAGACCAGGCTGGCCTCGAACTCACAGAGATCCGCCTGCCTCTGCCTCCCGAGTGCTGGAATTAAAGGCGTGCACCACCACTGCCCAGCTGTAGAGGCATTCTTAATCTCAATCTCTCTCTCTCTCTCTCTCTCTCTGTGTGTGTGTGTGTGTGTGTGTGTGTGTGTATGTGTGTGTTCACACGCACATGCCATGACACACATGTGGAGGTCAGAGGACAGCAGCTTTTGGGAGTTAACTTTCTCCTTCTACCGTGTGGGTCCCAGGGATAGGACTAGGAAGTCAGGCTTGGCAGCACCTTTCCCGCTGAGCTATCTTATTGGCTCAAAATCATCTTTCTACATAGCCCTGGCTGTCCTGGAACTCACCATGTAGACCAGGCTTGCCCCAAACTCAGAGATCCATCTACTTCTGCTTTCCAAGTGCTGGGATCAAAGGCACATTCCACCGTGCCCGGCCATAACTGTTCTTTTTTAAAAAACAGTACCAAGTCCAAAAGTAGCTTTCAGGCTCCAGACTCCCCCTCACTCCCATTTGTGTATCTTCTTCAGTCCTAACAACCTGCCAGGGAGCTAGGCAGAAACTATCCGGAGGCTGTCAGAGATGCGAGCTTGGAGCTTTGGTGACGCTCCTCCCCCTCTGCCAGACCAACTTCCTAAGACATGGCGGAGGGGCTCTGTGAGCAGAGAGCAGACTCTGTGCTGTCTGGGATCTCCCTTCCAGTGATAAGTGTCACTTGTTCCCATGGACTGAACAGAGGAGGAAGGGGTGATGCTTTCAGGGCAGTGCTGAGTCCCAGGCCCTAAGGGTCATGACAATCTCCAGTCCCTTGTCCAAGTGTAGGGGATAGATGACTCCAAGCTGGTCTCAGGTCCCAGGCCACACCTGGAAGGTAGACGGCGTGAATCTTGGCATCATGCTGGCTTCTCGGCCCCATGATAGGACCTAGACATTTGGAGACATATGGTCTGTGTACAAGAGGATGGAGATGAAGAGCAGGGGCAAAGACAGACTGAGGAAACAACAGAGAGGGGAGGGATAGGGGAGGGGCTTCAGGGGATGGGTGGGGGAAGATGAGGAATGCCACCAGAAGTCACTTCCTGAAGCCAAACAGGAATCCCTGGCATTCTCCAGACTGAGGCCTCTCTGTTTGGGGAAGCAATGCTTGCAGGGATTGGGACTGTAGGGGAGCTAGCATCTTCACCTGAGTTCTCCCAGAAGGCAAGAACATGACCTCCACCCTCTAATTTCCAGGTAAATGCTGAACTGCAGATTCCTCCAACGCAAGGCTTCCGATTGCCCACAAAATAGAGGTGTATCTGCAAAGCCTGGAGTCAGAGTCCACACCGGTCACCCGAGAGCCTGGCTCACCCTGGGTCTTCCAGATCTGTATCTGCCTGCCAAAATAAGGCAGCAATAGTCCCCACAGTTCTAATAAAGTCTTTGAAAGCTTAGGCTGAATGCCTTTAAGGAGGCCAGTCTAGATGGACAGAGGTCCCTTCCCTGAGTGGCATGAGGGAGTTTTGTCCCTAGGCTCACACCTAGCACCGGGTTCCCTTCCTGCCCTTGGGTAAATGCTGGTTTCTATGGATGGAGGCTGGCTGGGGCTTTGAAGTCGTGTGTCTTCAGATTATCCCCAATCTGAAGATGATCTCCATACTTCGGGGCCTGTGGGTCCACCAAGGTGTGCCCTCTGGTCTGTGAAACTAGGCTTCTCCATCAGCAACCCGGACTGGCAGCCCTGGGCCAGAGGCCCACCTTAAATGCTGCTCTACAAGAGGTTACCCATTACGAGTTTTTGTTTTCAAGACAGGGTTTCTCTGTGTAACAGCTCTGGCTGTTGTGGAACTAGCTCTGTAGACCAGGCTGGCTTTGAGCTCACAGAGATCCGCCTGCCTGAGTGTTGGGATTAAACTCCTGTGCCACCACTGCCCAGCTGACCCACAAGTTTTGCCCCCCCCCCCCATCCGCCTCATGCTCCACTTCGGTCTCAGGGCTTGATTTATTTTATTAAGAGAAAAATCACACTCAAGAAAAGCAACCGGCAGACTCGCAGAGGCAGAAGAGCAGCGCTCGTAGTGTAGACTCCTGGCTGTGGCTGCCAACAGGCTTGACAGGGCTGCCTTCAGGACGGCTAGGACACTGGGTTCCCTCTTAGGGTTGTGTAGCGGCCGGCCGGCACACACTGGCCTAGACAGAGGAAGCCCGGGGTGGGGGTGGGGGGGCTGTGATGGGAAGCCTCAGGATAAGCTGCTGCGCAGTTGAGGGAAGGAGGAGGAGCCAAGAGGAGAGCATGCGCAGAAGCAACCGGCTGCTGTGGCCTTGTACGGACTGTTCTGTTGTGTGGCTTGTGGTGGCATTTCTGGTGCTTCCCACTTGTTCCTCCTATTCAAGCTTTCAGCACTGCCCCATGTTCTTTGGTTGATTTCACTGGAGCCTTAACCGAATATCTGTAATGTTCAATGGAGGGCTGGGTCCCTGCCACTCTGGGAGCTGGACCGAGGAGTGTGTTTTCATGGAATGTGGGGCTTGGGGGTACCTGCCTTTGGATGCCACCGATTACAACTGTGCTCCAAACTCCAAGCAGGACTGGGGCAAGACCAGGCAAGCAGCAGTTTGGGTTTGGGGTGAGGATGGCAGCCCAGCAAGCAGGTGTCTTGCTCGAAGCTGGCAGCGGTGGTGGGGCTCCCCAGAGAGTTGGGAAAGAGTCCAGGTGAGGGAAGGCAAAGAAAGAAGCCCCTGGAGGGTTGCTGGGGCAGGGCAGGGCCGGGGATGCTTCAGGCCCCAAGGAGCTTCTTGACCATGTAGCCTGGGAGGCTGTAGAGGAAAAGGCCCAGCATGAGCAGCCCCAGCAACGCCAGCACGATCTTGATGATCAACCACTTGTACCGGGTGCAGATGAGGTACTTTATAGACTTGAGCGGGTTCAGGAACCAGACGAAGGCTGTGTCAGGCCGGCTAGGGCGGGGAGAAAATGGGAGGAGCCTGTCAGACAGAAAACATGAGCCACCCACGCAGGGCTCCTAGCTTCTCTGTTCTACAGGCAGTGAGTGCTCGAACCAGGGTGGAGCCCGTATCTAGTATCAGTCTACCGGCTCCTAAGCTGTACCCTCGACCGTGAGGCCTCTTCTGCCCCAGCTCTGCCCTGAGCCTAGGTGGCAGTTTTTGTTAGGGGCAGCCACCTAGCCTCATCCTGATTGCTTGCACTGATGAACTGAAGCAGAGGCCTTGGCATTGCAGGCCATGCGTGTTGTTCTTGTGATCTTGTACTTAGCATTTCATGCAGGCTCCTGTCTCCCCATATTCTCAGGAAATCAGAATTGCTCAACTTCTTCCTGTCATTCCTCCCTTTCTTCCCTCTCTCCCTCCTTTCTTCCTTTTTTGGGACAAGATCTCAATTATCCTAGGCTAGCTTTGTACTCACTAAGTACCCACAGATGACCTTTGACTTATATGCCTGCCTCTGCCCACTGAGGGTTAGGATTACAGGCCTGCATCGCTACCCATTTATGTAGTGCTTGGTGTTGCACCCAAGGCTTTTTGCTTGCTGGGCAGGCATTTCCCCACTGGACTACATCCCTAGCCCCTAAATTCTCCCTTTCTTATACGCCCACAGATAATGCCTATAGCAAGCATCCGAACAGCTTGAGTGCCATGCCGAACTCTCACCAGCTTGCCCACCGTCAGGGTACGAACATGCCCTGCCTCCTGCAGAGTTTCCTTGCTGAGGTCCTTGTCAACTTTTACTCCCTGCAACTTGTATCACAAGATCATCAGGCTCCATAAAATGTCACAACATAAAGTGTTGAGTACATCCGTGTGTGTCAGTGGGCATCCCTGTGTACACAGATGGAGGCCAGAGGAGGACACAGGGATCCTGCTGTATCACTGTCCTTATGCAAAGCGCTCTCTCTCTCTCTCTCTCTCTCTCTCTCTCTCTCTCTCTCTCTCTCTTTCTCTGAACTTAGGCTAGTCTGGCAGCTAACAAACTCCAGAAATCTTCCTGTGTTTGCCCCTAGCAGTGCTGTTGGGTTTGGAGGCCCAGGTACAGTCACGCCCTAGCTTTTTATGTGAGTGCTGGCGATTTGAACTCAGAGTCTGGGAACAGCGCTTCTGTAGTTGGTGGACACTGGACTGGCTGTTTGCCACCTAGGCTGGTGACCCAGTGCTACCTAGAGCTAGGTGATCTTGGTCAAGCTATTTCACCCACCTCTTGGACCCAATAATATAAAAATATAAAGTAGCCATTTCTGAGAATATGATTGGACTTTGAAGGTTTGAAAGTTGCGACGCATGTTTGTGTGGGAGGCACATATGTGCTTCTGTATGTGTACGCACCGTGTGTACTCGTATGAACTTGTATGGGTTTCTATGTGTGTTTTGAGTGTGTCCCACATGTTGACCAGCCCTTGTCCAGAGAGGGAAGGAAGAAGTACCAGGTGCAGGAGGCTGCAGGGCTCAGGCCCCCAGGATCTTCTTGGCTAGGTAGCCAGGCAGAGAGTAGAGAAACAGAGCGAGCAGCAGCAGCAGCAGGAGCAGCAGGAGGAGCCTGAGGAGCAGCCAGCGGTAGGTATGCCACAGGAAGTAGCGGGCAGACTTGAGAGGGTTCAAGAACCAGATGAAGCTCGTGTCTGGCCGACTGGAGCATGGGGGAGGGCAGATGAGCATAGAGAAAGAGCATGGGGGCGGGAACGGGCCTGGCAAGAAGCCTCTGCTGACGAGGAAGCCTACCAGTACCAAGCAGTAGAGTTTCTGTCACCTGTCGGGCCATCAAGTCTGGCCACCATTGGGGTGCCTGCCCTTGTCAAAAACTAGGAAGAACCCATATAGCGGCTGGACTGGGGGTCGGGGGGCAGGTTGGGGAAGCCTTCCTGGGGAAGGAACAGCTTTCTCTGGAGCTAGTTCTTCCTTTGGTTCAGAGCGAGGAGGCAGGCTTCAGGGTTGAAGGAAGGGGCTCCCCCATGATGTGACTGTGGCCCAGGAGGGGACAAAGTTGTTCTTGGGGAGTTGGGGGCAAGAAGACTAGAAAGGTCTGGGACATGATGTAGTGTGTCTGGGGGTCTAGGCAGACAGGACACTCACTTGGGTTTTTCTAGGGGATCAGGTTCATTGCGGGCCAGGCCCACTGGGTTCTTCTCCGCCTCCTCTGCCGTCAGTAAGTGTAACTCCGCCTCCACTTTGCCCTGAAGGGAAGGACAGAAGAGTTCCCCTGTCTAGGCCATGGTGGTAGACCCATGTAGGTCTACTCCCAAGCAGGAAATGGTACCCACCGTGAGCTCAAACTCATCATTCTCATTGCGGGCCAGGAGGGGCCACCAGCCTTTGACGCGCTTCTGTTTAAAGATGGAAACCAGGGGCACGTCCACCTCCCCTGTGGCCATCTCCATGGTGCACTGCTTGGCTGTCTTAGCACCCCTTGGGAACCGGTTCAGGTCCAGCTCGATGGCCCCTGCGGGACATCAGAGTCAGTTTCGGGTGGGTGTGACAGAGGCGGGGACTGCCCTGCCTCCTTCCTTTCCACCCCATTTTGCTTGGTTCCTTTCTTAGCTTAGAGTGTCTCTAGGTATTTGCAACCTTCATCCTGGCTGTTGGGCACCTTCTGACCATGTTGTACCAAAACCTAGGCTTGCAGGTGCAGATAAGAGTTTGGTGTAACCGAGGACCCACAGAAATCTGCCTCCTCAGTGATCCTGGCTGACTTCCATCAACATCTATCCTGCCTCCCTAGTGTGCCCAGAGCTCCTTGTTGCTCCAGTGGTAACTGGGCAGATTCTTGGAGAGGCTAGATCCCCGTGTGGTATCTCTGGCTCTGAAGACTAGGTGGATCCCCTCCTAAGGACCCAGCCTGCCCACCCCTGCCCCTCAGTTCTGGGCCCGAGGCCTCGCTCTGCACCCAGAAAGTCGTCAGCAGAGAAGTGGTCAGCATCCCATATCTGTAGGGTGAGCCGTGCAGGGATCTTGTACTCCGTCTCATCCCAGGAGAACATAGACTCCTTTTTAGACATGACGATCTTCTCTTCGGCCGCCAGGTAGTCAAAGGGGAACAGGTAACGCCAGTTGAAGTTGCCCTCACCAGTGAGGGAGTGGTAGTGGACATCTGTGTCCTGTTTGTCCTCCTGCTGGCCCTTCAGCCACCTGCTGGGAGGCACCTGCTCCAGCTCTGTGGCCACACCCTTGGAACCTCGCCCCACCCCAGGACTCCCTTATCCGTTCTCCTGGGAAAGTGGACATGCCCAACTTCAGCCTCTCCCAGGGCAGTGACTGTCACCCACCCCCGCACAAAAATGTCACTGGACTTCTCTCCCGTGAAGAAATCGTCATCTTCTAGGACCACCTCATCTGTGTTCCACACGATGACCCGTAGCTCGTACCTAGACAGGAGCAGGAAGGCCCATCAACGACCTGGGGTAGGGCTTGTCCCAGGTCCTGGGGCCGGATCAGGGCAGGGGTCTATTAATGTGTCAGCAAGAGAAGCCCTGGGGACTTGAGCAGGCTAGAAAAGTGGGGGAGGAGACTCAAAGGAGGTTTCTGTGGCCAGGTCCCTAGTGGGCTGGCGTTCAGCCAAGCACAGGTCAAGACAGTTAGGGGCAGAGCAGCCAGCCCAGAGCAGACACCCAATGCACACTCCTGGGACATGAAGCTAGGAAAAAGGAGTAGGGAGAGGTGCGTGGGCTCCTGGGGGCAGGTGCAGGGAAGTGGGCTGGATGGGAAGTAGATGAGCTGGGTAAGGGGGTAGTGCCCATCCCAGGCAACTCACTTCTTAGGTTTCCTAGGGGAGATGTCTAGAGGTGTCCCAGGGGCTGGCATGTCCATGGGGAACATATCCACCCACAGCTCCAGGCGACCCTGAGGAAGGCGGGGGGCGGGTGGCAGATGTCTGAGTGACCTATTCCCTCTGTTCAAGGGGGTCTACTCTCCTGGCCTGTCCCAAGCTGCCTGCCAGCAGTTTCTAGCTTTGGATGCTAGGATATCTTTTGACAGCTTCTGGGGGCACCAGCTCCTGACGTGATTCTCAGAACACACACTTGCCATCAAGTTGGCCTCGGTGAGGAGGTGTGCGGGAATACAGTGGGGACACGGGACAGCACAAGCTATGTTTCTACCCTATGATCCCGGGTGGAAGATCTCCAACTCCTGATCCCAGCCATGTGTACACCACCTGCTCAATGCCGGGCTTGTCAGGGTTGAGCAGCGGCCTGGTCTCCACGTGTTCTGGTACAAGGTGGCAGCCCACTCGGGGGATGTCCTCCCAGTGTCTCAGGGCAGACAGAGCCACGTGCTCATCTGTGGGCTTCTTCTGACCTGTGGATGACAGTGGGTCAGGTGCATCCACACGGCCAGGGGCCCTGTGCTAGGTTCAGGAGCTTAGGAGCACGGAACCCCAAGTCTTGACCTGTCTACGTCACCTTCATTTTATTGAACCAGACACAGAGGAAGGCCAAGGTCTCAGTTGCACCACAAGACCCAGAGAGACCTATAAATTTAGCTGACCCAGGCTTGGGGAAAGGAATGGGGGTACACAGGGGGCTGTAACTTTGAGCCAGGGAGACCTAGGCCTACACCATTACTCTGCCTCTGGAGAGATACATGAGCTTGGGCAACTCACCCAACTGGAACTTACTGAGTCTCAATTGTGCTCATTTGTAGAATGGGGGTATTTTCCTGGCCCATGGGGATGAACGAGAGAGAGGGAGAGTGATATGGGGGGGCAGTGTGTGGGTAAGTGTGGTACAGGAGAGGGTGTCAGGACAGTGGCTGGGCAGAGTGGAGGGAGCTCTGGAGTACAGAGCAGAGGGTCACTAGGACTCAGTTTAAGGACCTGTGCACTAGGTCAGGAAGGCCCCCATAGAGAAGTGTGGCTCCGTGGTGGCCAGTGGACTGGGGCCAGTCAGCAGTTTTCAATGCCCTTTACCATTCTCGTCCTCTATTTCTGAAGGCCCCGTGAAGACACGATTGGCGACCTTCACTCTCCCATGGGGACCAAAGTGGGGGCCGTCCACTTTGCCTTCTTTACAGAGACGAGTTAAGATCTGGCTGGGCTTCATGGGGTCCCTCCAGATATTGTAGCCATGTCTGTGGGAGGAGACACACAGGCGTGAAGCGGCTCAGGCTGGCCATGCCAGGTGGCAGCTTTTTCTGGCCAGTTCGTCACAGTCGGCCAGTGCCTACCTCAGCAATAGGCCTCCTGTGTCCCCAGGTTCACCCAAGACACTAGGGCTACTGGGAGCTGACAACATCCAGTGCTGCCTAACACTGCCCCGTCATCCCTCAAGGGCTCTTGTGAGGCATCAGATAACCAGAGGGGGAAGGAACTTGACCAAGTTGCTTGGCCTGCAAGTGGCGGAGGCCTTCCCAGATCCTCAGAAGACATTATCTGTCCTGTCCCCTTCTGCTTTCCCGATTCTGTCTCCTTTGTCTTAGTCCCCTCCCTACCCTTGGGATATGCAGGCCCGGCCCCTGAAGCTGCACTCAATGTCTGTAGGGTGAAGGTGTAACCTAGCACAGACATTCTAGCATGCTTATCGCTCCCGAGTCTTGTCCTAGTGCTGAGGTGCAGCAGACATCCAGCCCCTTCCCTGTTCCCTGTCCTGTCTTTAGCCCCTCGCAGGGACTGGTCCCACTCCGTCCTCGCACATGGAGTAGGTCTGCGCAATGCCGCAGGTGGCGCGGTGCTTGCTGTAGAAGCGGTTTTCCAAGTCGATCTTGGTTTCTCCAATGAGGTCATCAGTGCCCACCAGATCCCAGTCGTACACGGCCACTGTCAGCATGGACTCCATTGGGAAGGAGGCCTCGATGTCAAAGGACCTGCCAGGTGGGGGGTAGGAAGGGGGTTGCAGGTTGAGATTGGCAACGGGTGGGGAGTGAACCGAGAGTTGAGGTGGGCAGAGAGGGTACCACAAGGCCTTACTTCCCAAATACGGGGTTGAGCTGCTTGGAGATGTAGTTCTCCTTGTCACGGATGTCAGTCTTGCCTAGCTTGATGGCGATGTAGGGGTCAGCTTTGCCATTGATGTCAGCCGGGTGCAGGTCTGTGGCCTGGACAGGGTAAGTGTTGCCTAAGTAGAATCCTGGGTACCCTTGCTCTGTTCCTGAGGGTCCCATGATGTTGAAAAGTGGGGACAGGGGCATTGGGTTAGAGACTGAGTCTCACTGTGTGGCTCTAGGGACGTTGCTGCTTCTTGTCCCTGGAACTGGACTTTCTGTCTAGAAAGATGCAGACTAGACCAGTGGACCCTTCTGATGTCTCGAAGCTACCTCAGTCCTTACAGCAGGAGGCCTGGGGGGCTTTCAGAGAAGGAACGGGAAGGGAGTCTTACCCGGACCACATAGACTCGAACCAACACGTTAATGGGGTCATTGCTTGGGATGCCTTGGAACATTCCGTAGGTGGGGTCGTAGCCAGCTTCTCGAGCTACATCCTCTGGGAGTGGCACTTTGTACACGCACAGGGAACCCTGGAGCAAGGCATTGGGTGGGGATGGAAGGCTGCCGGTTCCCAACTAGCCAACAGTACAGGTCCACACTGTGGCGTGGCCTTAGCCCTCAGCTGCCGGGTCATGGATGGTACAGGGGTTGTAGAGGGCAGTGGGAGAGATGTAGAGAAATGGGGTTGTGAGGGGATCAGCAGTTGGGCCACGCTCCTTGCCTGACCTTGAAGCGACCCACGATGCGCTCCTCTTCCGTGGAGCCGTCTTCGTCGTCCCCTGTCTTGCCCCGCAGTAGATTGAAGGTGTGCAGCCAGTCCTCAAAGTTGTCGAACTCTGACTCCAGCTCCTTGGGGTACACCTGGACGGGCCAGGACGTCAGGCCCCATGCCAGCCTCCTGCCCCATCTGCTGCCCCCACCCCGCACCCGGGCAGCATCTGCTACCAGACCTTGAGCTCATCAATCTTGGCTTTCTTCTTCTCAGGAGCCTCCGATCCCTGGACAGAGCCAGGGCTCTGGTTTTTCTTCTTTTTCTCCTCCTTTGCAGCCCTGGACTTCTCTTTGCTCTTCATTGGCCCCTTTGGGCCTGACCCTAAGAAGAGGAGGAGGCCCTAGTCAGCTTAGGTGAGCATGGGGTGGAAAGGGAAAGAGCAGGAAGGCCTGAGATCGAGATCCGGCTTCACTACTTCTTTCCCATTTAACGTTGGAGTCTTTCTCTCTCTCTCTCATTGTTGCTGTTTGTTGTTTTTGTCTTTTTTTTTTTGAGACAAGATTTCTCTGTGTAGCCCTGGCTGTCTTAGAACTCACTCTGTAGCCCAGGCTGGCCTTGAACTCAGAGATCCACCTGCCTCTGCCTCCTGAGTGCTGGGAATAAAGGTGTGCGCCACCACTGCCTGACATTAGAGTCTCAATGTATTCCGTGAGGAGATGCAGACTGCGGGCCATGCCTACATAGGTCAGTCCCTACACAGGATGTTGTCTGCTCTTGGTAGAGTGGGGAAGGCATCTGGAGTCAGGGGGGCTTGTTTGTGTGAACCTGTGCCTGCTCCCCTTGTTTTCTAGGTTTATATTGACAAGGCTGCTTCCTATTAGCGTTTCCCAAGCTGCATCCAGTGAGATCCCGGGCATATGCGCCATTGGTAAGCTTAGGAGAAAAGAAGAAATCATTTCTATTTCAAACTGTCTTCCTTTGAAAAATCAATAACCCCAGTGCTTGGGGAGATGGCTCAGAGGGTGAAACGGCTTTGCAAGTGTGAGGGCCTAAGTTTGAACCCCAGAAATTCATGTAAAAGCTGAATGCATAGCAGAAGTGTCTATAAACCCAGAGGTCCTATGGGGAAATGGGAGGTAGAGACTGGAGAATTCCTGGACACTCACAGGCCAGCTAGTCTGGTGTACACAGAAGCAGTGAGAGCGCGCACGCACACACACACACACACACACACACACACAAACACACACACATCCCTGTGTAATCAGTACTAACATAAAAGCTCTGAGACATCTTGTACCAAAGGAACCTGTTTAAACCAAAGAAGTTTCCTAAACGGATCTCACCACAGAATCCTTTCTCCTCCAGAATAGCCCTGATGTTGTTCCATGGAAAAGGTTATTGACAAGCTAGGGATGTCTTCTGGCTCAGATAGTCTATGGTTCTGAGTGTCTATCTGGTGCTGTGGTTGCTGAACTGGTCAGAGTGGAAATTACTGTACAAGAGGTCCTTAGCTTGATCCTTGGAGCCCAGGCCTGGGAGTCGGGCTGGAAGCAGCAGACATTGTTGTGGATGCAGGGGTCCAGGGGTCTGGATGCCAGGGGTTTGGGGCTCACCTTCAGCGGTATCCATTTCTTCCTTCTCTTCTAAGTCAGTCCCAGAGGACTCATGTTGTCGAAGTTGCTGCCAAAACATGAAAGGGGTTTCCCTGACTCTCGAGGTCACGTGTGCGTTTGGGTCCACAAGACTGAGGCTTCTCAGGGTATTGGTGGCACTCTATCTCTGACTCCCACAGCACCCTGTACGCTATCTGACTCAGCATGTAGATGCAAGAAATCTTTGTGGGACTGATGAGAGGGGACTCAGTCAGGAAGGTCAACTGTCTATCAGCCCAAGGAGGGAGGACTCTGAAGGGAGATTTTGAGGAGCTGGTTCTGCGGGTTAGGATAGGAGCTGGAGAGGTGAATGTGATTTAGAACTGGGCACCTGCCACCCCTTTCCTCCTTCCTCCCAGCTCACATCCGGTTCTCACCTCCTTCATTGTGTCGATGGAGGCAAAATACTTGGACCACCAATCCAGCATGCTCTCATCAGGCTCCTCTTCCTCTGCTTCGTCTGACGTGCCTTTCTTTTTCTTCTTCTTCTTTTCCTTCTCCTCCTCAGCCTGGAGATTGGCCAGGGCGACCGTCCCATAGGCTCTCCTTTCTTTCCCGGGACCCTGACTGATCTCTTCCCACTCTGGCTATCTGATCCCAGAAAGCCCACCCCTTGTCATAGTACCATGGGGCCACCAATGCCATGGAGGCAAGGCTTTGGTGAGGAGGATACCATAGCCCCATAAGAACCACAGCCTGCCACTGGGAGCCACAGGACGGGCACTCAGGGAAGGATGGCTGGGTCCAAGAAGTTGGCCTTCTGACCTGGCACTGCTGTAAGTGAATGGCTCTCTTGCCCGAGGGCCCTTGCACAGCTCCACCACTTACCACATCCACCTTGACCACAGCATCGGAAGTCTGTAGAGGGAGGGAACCAAGGAGAGAGGACAGGATTAGCCACTGAGAACCGCAGGGAGAGGCAGTGGGCCAGTGCAGGAAGTGAGAAGCCAGGAGCCACCAGGGTGCACACAGGGACCAATGCTTACTCTTCTCTCTTGACCGCAAGGCAAGCTTCACATTTACAAGAGCAGGCTGCCTGCTAAGGTGACTAAGGGCCTACTCGAGGTGGCTTCTGCTGCTCCCTCTGGCTTACTAGATCCCTGGAAGCCTGTACCTTAGAGTCACCTGGGGGCTTTTACAAATAACGAGGAGTATATGGGGATGGGGTGGGAGCTGGCAGCAGAATGTTCAAAACTGAGCACCTGGGCAGTGAGCTTTCCAGGCAGCATTGCCCAGAGCTGCAGGACCCAGTGTCTTCTGCTGTCCTTTCTAGAGATCACTGGAAGCCCCGATTCTACTCACTAGCCAGGTCAAGCACTTTAGACCAGGCCTCGGGAGCTAGGAAATACCGCAGACTGCGTGAATCGAGCGAGGTAGTGGACAGGAGGCTGAACATGTAACTGGGAGGGAGTCCCTTCATGGCTCTGAGCAGAGACAAGGCCTCGGGAGGCTGACAGCAGGCTAGCCCATCCTGCCCTCTCCTGTAGACCTTCCTCTGCCAGGTAGACCCCCCTGAGGAACAGGACCTTCCCTGTGGAACTCCTCCCCCAGCCCAGGCTCCTGGGGCATCCGTTGTCATGGACAATGGCCCTGTACAGGCCACACCTCTCTCATAAGCAGTTCATTGCCTAGGGGGGCATTTCCGAAGTATGAAACATTGCAGGTCATCGCCGCTAGCCATCGCTACTCCTTCTCTTGTACATACATATCATCTGCTCATGCACACATGTGCAGACACACACGTGTGCAATACACACACATACTCCCTAGTCCCCTCTTCCAGAAAGTGCCATGTGAACCAAGGCTGGTTCTTAATAACTACACTTAGAGAGTTAAATCAGAGTTGCACTATCAGGACAGGTCTGCCTGGCTCTCCAATGTGCCGCCTGGCCAGCTAGGGGCTGGCCACTCGCCTTACCGCATCCAACTTCACCATGGTCTCCAGCTTCTTGACGGGCACCTCTGGTTCCATGCTCACTACAACCTCCCCTGTGGGGCGAGAAGAGGGGGCCCCATTGCACAGCATGTGGCAGCCCCGGAGAAGCCTGACTGGACAGACAGACGACAGACAGAGGAGGAGCAGAGTCACAGTGAGAAGCAGTAAGGTAGGAAGAACGGCCTACTGAGGATTCTGGAGCTTTCTTAGGGCAGAGGAGAGACAGGGCAGATGCAAGAACAAGCTGGGCACGAGGAAGGGAAATGATCTAGAGAGAGGGATGGATCATTGTGCATCCAGACAGTAGAACTGAGGCGAGGCCTGGAGGCTATGCCCAGCGGAGGACCCGGGTCTCCTCCATCACCTGGGAGAAGAAGCCATCTGCTCTCAGCCTTTTGAGGGCCTGTCAGGACTAGCTGTGGGCCTCAGAGTGAAGGGCAACCCTGTGCAGCCTTCTCTGACCCTAAGGCTGTCCATCTCCCCACCCCACCCCCACTCCAACCCTGCTACACTGCCATAGAGTCGCCCCAGAGGAAATCCTAATGGATACTTAAACTGCACTGTGAGATGGGCCCTTCTAGGAGCTGACTAGAGCCAAGCCATACCTGTGGTGTTCCAATTGGCGGCTGAGCGGTCTGGGGGTCGGTAGATGAAGCGCCGCAGTGAGCTGACTGCGTGGGAGCCCACCAGGGTGTATCGTCCAAAGGCCCGGCAGTCCACCACGCGGATGTTCAAGGGCGGGTGCAGCAGCTCATTCTCCGGGAGGTCCTGAGAGATGACAGTAACATGTTACAGCCTATGCCTCAGAGAAAGGGGCAGAGGAGGTTGGCTAAGGCACGCTGCGCTGGTCACACCCACCCCTGCTAGGCTCTGCTGGCTCCCACACTCACCACTTCAAACCACTTGACCAGGGTGTTAAAATTGGGGTTCTTCTTATAATTGTGGATCAGGGATGACTGTACCCCCTTTCCTGCACACTCGATGTCCACCCGTGGTCGGTCCACCTGGGCCAGGTTCACTCTCTTCAAGTCCCTCAGGCCCCAGAACAGCACCTGAGAGCAGGGGGAGGGTGACTTTGTGAAGGGAGCCCGGGGTGGCTGGGATGAGTCACCTGAAGCAGTAGCAGGGTGGGAGATGGGCAGGGACAGTGAATGTCTTCCGGGGACTGAGGAGGGGTCTCTGGGGCAAGGGCCACTATGGAAGACAGAGGGCTCTGGGCACAGTGGTGTGTGTCCGAGTTGGACAGGCTCTAGCTTGGACTAGAGGCCTGTGCCAGTGCTGTTGGCTCCAGGGAGTGGTCTTGGACAAGTCCCCTCCACTCTTGGGCCCTCGCTATCCTTTTCTGGTTAGGGGACCAGGAGTTTGATGGCTTATGTGGAATGTACACTCATGGTGCTTCATGGGGCAAAAGTCTCAGGATGACTCGGGCAAAGGTCACACACAGGGCAGGGAAGTGCACGGAGCCCTCATGCACCTCTGTTGTGGAAATTACTTCAACTATGTAAAGAAGTGTTGCGTTTGTTTATTCTGAGGAATATGACTTTAACTGCTTAAGGGTGTGTTATATTTGTTTATGCCGTATTTATTTAATGATGTAAGGATTTGTGTTTAGTTGCGTAAAGATGTATTGCATCTGTTTCACCTTGACCATCTAAGGTACCTGATTGGTCAATAAAAAGCTGACCGTCAATAGCTAGGCAGGAGAGGGATAGGTGGGGCTGGTGGACAGAAAGAATAAAGAGGAGGAGAAATCTAAATTAGAGAAGAGAGAGAGGAGAGAAGGAGAAAGAAGAGGGAGAAGGAGAGAGACACCCAGGGCCAGAAGCCAGGCAGCCACCAGCCAGACACAAGAAACAGTGAAAGTAAGATATGCAGAAGGAAAGAAAAAAGCCCCGAGACAAAAGTTAAGTAAAGAGAAACAGGTTAAGTTAAAAGAGCTAGCCAGAAATGAGCCTAAGCCAGGTCGAGCATTCATCACTAATAAGAAGTCTCCATGTCATGATTTGGGAGCTGGTTGGTGGCCCACAAAAAAAAAAAAAAAAAAAAAAATTGGTGCATACCTCCACACGATACTTGCTGAGCACTGGCCGGATTCCCACGGGCACAGGCATGATGGGTCCTCTGTCCATGTCCACTGGACCATTGATGGGTGGCAGGTCAGCCTTCCCTGATGGCCCAATCTGAGGAACAAGGTCATAAATCACAGTGGCAGGCCCTTTCCCCAGTGAGTTGGCGTCCTGAGATCAGAAGGAACAGGCAGGCCAGAGAGCCCAGGGGCCCTGAGATCTTACTCCCAGCCCCGGCTTTCAAGCCCACCCGCCATATACCTGTAGCAGCTCAAAGGCAGCCAGGAGGTCTCCGGCCGTGGCATTGCCTCGGTAGATCTGGTAGTACTCAAGCTGGGGCGGAAAACGAGGCGGGCAGTATGCCTCATCTGCCATCTTCACCAGGGGCTTGGCGAAGGTCCGGCCCATGAAGTCAGCTTTACCCTAACACAACAAGACTCTAGCATTCTCTTGGGCACCGCAACAGTTGAGTTGGCTTATAGACAGTTAGCCCCTCTTGGAAAGGGTATTATCCTGCCCCCCCCCCGCCCCCCGCAGAACCTCCATTGAGAGTAGCAAGGCTACTATAGATTGTGATGAACGTAGGTAGGGATCAGAGCTCTGGAGTGGGGGTGGGGCTGTGACCATAGAACCTCTTGGTAACATTTCTGGAAGACATTGGCTTCAATGTGTTTACCCAGGAGGGGGAAAACATCAGGGTTTGCTCCTGGTCCCCAAGAGGCTCATGGTACTGGAAAAGGATCAGGTTGTGGGTGGCCAGGAGGCACCCGGAAAGCCTGGTCACCAGCCCCTCTTCCCAGCAAACCCAACTAAGGAGTACCCATAGGGGCAGCTAGCACAGAGCTTAGTGCAGGGGGAGGGGGAGGAACCTGCAGAGGTAAGGTCCGCTAGAGGTCACTGGTGCCAGTGCCCACCCTTACCATGGTGTCCTGGTCATAGATTTCAATGACAATGATGGGGGGATCGTCTCGTAACTCATGAGCTTCACCGTACAGCTCCAGGTTGTCAAACACCAGCATTTGGTCCCAAGTGGGACACAATGTCTCGTTCAGAACCTGCACCATGGAGTGAGGGGCGGAGAATAAGTGGCAGACACCACTCCTAGTCATGGCTGCAGGGAACCTGCAGGCAGGGATGTTTGCGTCCCCTATTTTTCCAGAAATCTGAAAGTCAAGGCTCCTATGAAATCTGTTCTCAGTGCCCTGCCAAAGTTTTCTTGCCTTGTGGACATAGCCCTAGTCCAAGCTGGTGACTTTTACCAGCCTAGCCAGTTGCCCAAAGGGCTTCCCTCTGAGATCTGGGGAACTAGAAGATCAATTGTACGTCTTCCCAGTGTTCCCCCCCCCCTCAGAATCCCCTTCCCTCAGGGCCACTCCCTCCAGAGCCCCCTCCCTTCAGGGCTCCTCCCCCATGTCCACTCGAGTCCCCATAGCCCCTCCCCCTCAGGCCCTTGCCTCAGTGCACTGGCTCTGGTTGATGAAGAAGACACGGGCGAAGGGATCAGAGAGCCCACTGCTGTCAGCAGCAAAGAGGCTTCGGGCCTGATACATGTGGGCTCGGAGCTGGAAGACTTGCTTCTCTGTGGGAAAGAGTGGGCTGAGCCATGCCATACGGCCCCCGTGGCCCTCTGGGGATACAAGCTGGGAGAGTGGCCCACCCAGGATGAGGAATCCTCACTCACTGGTGTAGACCAGGCTGATTGGTGGAAAGGAGTGCAGACCCAGGCCTTGGGCTGCTTTGACCTCCTCGAAGCCACAGGGCAGGCCACACAGGAAGTCCTTCCGCTGCTTACTGAGGCCCAGCCACAGGTAGAGCTCCAGCTTGGCCTGTACTGTCCAACCTGCCGAGCCAAAGCCCCTCTTCCCTGGCAGCTGGGGGGCAGAATCGGGGTCACCAAGCGTCTGACAGCTTCCAGGGCCCACAGGGTAAGGGAGGCCCAGGGTGGTAGTGAAACCTCAGGCAGAGTTAGGCAGAGTTGTGCCTACCCCTTCACTGTATAAATGTGGGGGTGGGAGACTAAGGGATGGACAGATGGGGCCAGGTGGGCACCAGCCCTCTGAATACCTGCTAGTTAAGGGCTCCACCCCCTTCCCTTAGGCTTGCCAGACTCAGTGGCGCCTCTACAAGAGCCCGCCTCGCCCCACCCAAGTCCCATCCCCGGCAGCACCTTGAGGAAGAGGGTCTTGACTTTGGCACAGTCCTTGCCCAGCTCCTCCTCCACGATGGAGAAGAGCAGGTCTTTGGAGGGCACCCGGGCATAGGCGATGCGCTTGTTGTTGCTCATCATCCAGATGAACACATCTGGAATGCTGTGCTGGGGCTGCAGCAGAGGGGCAAGGGCACAAGCCAGGCAGAACCAGCTTCAGTATATGGGACCCTGAGCCGGATGCCCCACACTCCTGGGGCTTGGAAGGGAAAGACCCTCTTTCCTGGGTCTTCTTTTCCTCCCACTGAGCTTGCTCAGTCTTGTCAGTCGTGGCCATCCGAGCAGGGCGGACTTTCACGCCAGCCCCTTTCGATGCTGTCCCTGCCCTGTAGGCCACCCACCTCATCTGCCAGGAAGCGTAGCTTCTGTAGGAAGTTCTGGCATAGCCTCAGCTTGTCCCGTACAGTATGTCGCTTCACCTGGGCCCTCAGGCTCTTGGCCTGTTGTCCCATGCTTTCCTGTTGGGAAGAGTGTAGGAGGAACAGTCAGCTTTTGGTGACAGCTTGAGCCGTGACATCAAGAACAGATGGCCCCTGTCCATTGGCTTCCCTGATCCCGGGGTCCAGCTGTAGCCTCACCAGCTCCCTCATACAGGACTTGAGGCGCTCCCGGTCCAGTTTGGTGCGGGACGAGTGGCCCTGGTCCTTGTCCGAGAGGGAGAGGAAGCGACTGCAGAGGGATGGGCAGGAAAGAGCCAGGGCTTAGCCTCCTCTGCGCTGACCTGGCTACAGTGTCCCCTGTCCCACCCTACCGTCCCCAGCCATCTTCTCACTGGCAGCCACAGCTCAGTTCCTCCAGCACACCCCGGAGGCGGCGCTCTGGGTAGGACTTCTCCGTTTTGATCATCTCCTGCACGTCATTCAAACCTTCCTCCTGTGAACCAGGGTTTCAGGTGCACTCTGAGCCTCAGCCCTCCTCCTCCCGGATGTGCTTCCCATTTACCCCAGGACAGAGGAACCTAGTAATGTGGGTATATCTCTATTTATATCTATCTATCTATCTATCTATCTATCTATCTATCTATCTATCTATCTATCTATCTA